ATAAAAGGTGCAAAGTTGTACATCAAGACATTGTACTCAAAATTCATCAGTGAAACGATTAAGTGTACTAGCTTTAAATTTATCATCCACTGCATAAATATCCATTACTCGAAGTTGAATTTGTTCAACTATTTCACGCGACAAACTATCTGAAATAGCCTTTTAAAAAAAGTAAAATATTAAGATTATTAAACAATGCTGTATAGCATATAGATAAATTCATTCATTTACAAAACATTGCGATAAATGAAACCCTGACATTAAACGAGCTGCAATAGGTATAATGTTTCCGATTTATTGCCTACAACCACCTAGTGTATAGTATACTTAATATCAAGTAGCCTCACTGGAATCTTGATCGATGAAATTTTATTATACATAAGGACTAGGCAATGAGACAGGACTGTTCATTGACCAACTTGCGTGACAGTCTTTAAAAGGAGAAGTGCTAACAACATGTCAGTCAACGGTCTACTGTTTCATCAGAGAAATACGGACAGTGTCCAACCGAAGAATTCAGAGAGTGAATAAAAGGTAATTAAAACACCTCGTCGCGTTCATTAAAATAAATATCTAGAACATTTTACACCATCTTAGAAAAGAGATTTGCTTATTTAGTCAAGGGGTTATTAGTCAACAATAAAGATATGATTTTAATGACTTTGATTAGACCATCTGATTTATACGATCTGTATCGGACGACTACATGCAACCACCTAACATAAAATAATTGTTTCTGGAAATTATTTCAGATTTTAGTTTGACCCTCACCTAAGCTGCATAAATCTAAGTCGGATATCTGTTTTGGTCAAATGATTAAACAGTTTTGGCGTTAATTTTGAAATACACTGAAAAAACATTATAACGAGCAATCGAAATTGAAAGCTACCTGCCACCAAGCCATTTCAGAATGTCGATTACCAGGTATTTCAACACCTGCAATGCGTAGAGCTAAATGTAGTACGGCTGCAGCGATATGCTCCGGGGCAAAATCCAAACACATAGCTGACTGGTAAGAATCTGCTAGTATTGACCAAGCCAAACCAGGTAGTCGAGCCAATGCAATTGCAGAAGCATTTACTGAATCTCCTCCAGCGTTTAGATCGGACCCGCATGGTTGTGCTATACCTTTACCAACCCAATGGAGTAATGAATGAAGATAATGAACTAGATACGGATGCGGTAGAGAGGGACGGCGAACATGATAGGCCAACAAACGCATCAAAAATAATTCTGTTTGTACAAGACTTTCACGTAAACGATCATAATCATCACCGACCTCAAGGGGACTACGACGGTTTTTGTGAAGTGTCCTGAAAAAGAATGATGTGATACGATTAATGAGTAAAGCTTGATATATGATGCTAACAAGTAATTCATTGAAAAATTTACAATTGATAAGTTAATAAACGTTTGATCGATGTAAAAACGTTTCCATGACAAGATTCCACTAGAAATACTACTTGAAACTTGAAGTTGACCACTTATAATTTACATGGATTTCCTGTACATATAAAATTTGCAACAGATATATTTTAGTATAGCGTGATTAGTGGAAATCGAAGAATTTTCTAAGTTCGAACCACAAAACATGAAAGCGCTGGATGGCCGTTTCGTCCTGGTATGAGAATCCTCATAAGTCGCTAGCTTCAAAATGCAACTGCCGAAGTTCTAGTGAGAGGCGGTAACCAGTAGAGTTTACCCGTGTCAGATGAATGACAGTCATCGAACGCAGGCATGGACGAGAGTTATATGATATCGATAATTGATCGAAGTGAGACATTAGCATCGTTGAATACCGAAATTCTTAGGTTAGGTATTCGCACGCGAGAGTGAATGTTCTTGGTTTGATTCCTGAACGTGGGTCGTGAAGAGCACTGAGAGGTCCCGCACAGAAACGAGATTTTCAGTGCTTGCAAGTTATTTATGGTGCGCTAAACAAGATCATGCATTTCTACAACTGAAAAATATCTGGAACTCCAACACCGAAATCAGGATTTTCAATACAAATGTCAAGACAGTTCTACTGTATGGGGCGGAAACATGGAGAACTACCAAAGCCATCATCCAGAAGATACAAGTATTTATTAACAGTTGTCTACACAGAATACTTCGGATTCGTTGGCCAGACACTATCAGCAAAAACTTACTGTGGGAAAGAACAAACTAGATTCCAGTGGAGGAAGAAGCGGTGGAAGAGGATAGGACACACACTGCGAAAAGCACCTAACTGCGTCACAAAACAAGCCCTCACATGGAACCCTCAAGGTCAAAAGAAAAGAGGAAGGCCAGGGAACACATTACGCCGAGGAATAGAGAGAGACAAGAGAAGAATGAACAAAAACTGAAGAGAACTAGAAAGGGAAGCCCAGGACAGAGTTGGTTGGAGAAAACTGGTCGGCGGCCTATGTTCCATTGGGGGTAACAGGCGCAAGTAAGTAAGTAAGTAAACAAGATCATTTCGCAACTTAGACCACCAAAGTGCATTTTAAAATAACGCAATATACCTGTAATAGGAAACAATCACATCGCGTAGTCGTTGATGTTCTTCTTGTACTTTACCGCCAAGACTGATAGATGCCATAGCGATGGTCTGAAAAATTTAAAGAAAAACGAAAACGAACGAATATTCATAATGATGATGAAATGATCTGCTTATAGCAAAACAATATGTACAAGCACAACTGATAAATGAACCATATCTTGACTTTAAATAAATTCAGAATATATGTATATATACAACAAAGGAAAATCAGTTAAATTGAAAGGAATGCAATCATTGAGTAACTATGAAGAAATGTTAATGTATGCGGCTAGTTCATTTTTGTTATAGGTATAAGAAGAATTAATTACTAAACAAAGATTTTTGAATGAAGATGAAAAATTCAATGTATGACGATGAGAGTAATGTGTGCATATAAGCTGATATAAAATGGAATTGAATTGTGGTATCAGGTTTGTTCATTTCGGTAATACAGAAGAGAATGAAATTAATCGCTAATTCTTTTATATAAGTATGTACTTACCAGCAAAAACAAAATTCATTTCAAATGTAAATGGGAACAACATCTTACAGCCTTACAATTGTTTAATTTGATTTGTACGAATATATAAATTCGCTTGAAAATATTATTTCGAAACATTCTAACTTGAAGATTTCTGCATACCCTTAGATGATTATGTAACAACGAACAATTATTTGACGGTTATATGGAAGCATGTATACATTAGTTGATGGATAATAAAACAAAATAAATTAGCTCAATTAAGTGCCGCAATAATTGGTTTAATAACATGTGATCGTTTTAACGACACATTTTCATGGAGTAAAATAAAGAACTTACATGTGCGTCAATATCTCCTAAGCTATGCTTAAAAGATTGATCAATCGAGTCGAAGCCAGTCACTGAATCAGATCCATTGACAGTTGCCGACCCAGAAGTAGTGACTGCTGTAACTGGCTGTTCATCGCCAGTGGTTAGAACACGTAGAGCACGGTGTAATATTGTACAAGCTGTAGCGATAGCGTAATCACTCATTGATAAACGCCGACCAGCCTCTCGGACAGTTAAAATCAAAGAAAACAAGGCCGCATCAGAAAGAGGAGGTCTAGGTGGTAGACCAGCAAGCTGACTGTTTGGATTACGAATAGCTGAAACTGATGCCGGGGCCTCACGACTGGACATATTAGAGATATCCTAAAACTGAAGAAATTATGTGCATCGAAATCTTAAATATCAAATCATTGTTACATTGCTAACAAAAAGACATACATTTAACCTAAATGTAAAGTACTAAGGAAACATTATATACGTTGGCACTAATTTGCATAAATGTACAGAAAAAACAGTGAAGCTATTCCCAATAGCAACCAATCTAATACAACAGAGAAGAGCATTTACATCTTTCTTCACATTGAATACACACCAATTGTATATCAAAACATAAACACAACACAAATTATTCAGTAAAGATGAGATGACTTCTACAATATAGTAAACCGATCAAGATCAATTTTTCATGTTCCTTTCCTTACTAATGGCATAATGATGCATCAAATTCAGCCGTAATTCATCAAAAAGAAATCAAACAAACGATGGTTTCTGATTAAGTAAGCATGGACAGAAACCAACTAGTAATTAGTAAAAACCAGAAGACAAAATAGATTCATTTTGTAATGTTTATTATTTAAAATTGAAAATAATAAAACAGACATATCTTTATCAGAAAAAAAATGTTATTAGAAGATATTATATTTTTCAGTATCAATAATTGTCAAGTAATCTAAGAGAAAAAAAATGAAAAAAACAACTAAATAATAAAACTGAAATGAAAATAAATAATAAAATGCGCAGATAATATTGCTATCCTAGAAATGTAAGAATGGTATAAGTGAAAAATCTTTGAAATTGTACAAGAAAGATATCAAAATAATATACACAGAAAATATAAATAATTCACAGTGATTCGGTTATCAATGATACATACAACTAACTAATAACAAAAGATAAGACAAAACAATAAACCTAACAGCAATACAATAAACTTAATATTAATTTAATTCAAATAGGAATCATTTTAAAAAAAAGTGATTCACTGGTTTTACTTGTAGGTTAGAATATAAGTTGGTGTTTAAGACATAATTAAGCATACAAAGGAGACAAGGTAAAATTTTCAATAGTACATCATAATAACCAATTTAAGATTGATTAGCGCACAACGTGAAATATAAGAAAAATAAATAAAATGGAAAGCGTAAAATAACTAAACCATATTGAATACAGAAATGCTGATAATTAAAATCAGATAAGTTGAAAAAAATGATCGGTCAAAATAACACTGAACAAATAAGAAATATAAAACCTTATTTTAGAAAAAAAACGAGGTCATGATAGACAATAAATACATGTATCCCCCATTTGCAATTATACATACATTTTAATAAACTAACTAACTATGGTGTAATTTTATGGCGCTCATATTAATACATGATACATAAATCACAGGGTGGGATATTCCATTCGAGTGCCAGTAAAATGTCGTCTACTGTTTTTAATAGTTTGGAATGAAAGAAATTCAACAGATTGATGTTTTGATGGTAAACAATAGACTGCATGTTCATGCGGATTTGAAAAATGATTTGATAAAAGTGGTTCCTCTTGATGATACAGATCTGTAAATGAACTGGTCTTATTACTATTACTGTTGCATAGTTGTTGACTGGTATATTGTAACAGCGAATTATTATCGTTATTTTGATGACTAAAAGAATTATCTCGACTAATAGTAGTAGCTTCATTAAATAGAAATGAATCATTATTGATTCGAATAGGACGCTGGTATTTCGAATCAGTTAATCGAAGTCGACCAGAAAATAAATTTCCTAACATTCGTCTGGGAGATGTGTGTTGTTCACCAGTGGATATTTTGTTGAAATTTTCTCGTCCTTCAAGCATATAATATAAAGTTGTACCTCGTGAACCCACTGAATTCGACTGCCAAGAAGGTGATAATTCATTCTTTAAATAATATTGCATAAGAGTATACACGAATTCTAGATCCCACTGAATTGTTTTAGCACAAAAAGAAATAAATAGTGTATTATTAACACAGATACAATTGAATTGGTATCTTTGACAATAAAAAATATAACTTAACCTTTGCAAAACACTTTCATTAAGAATTTATAAACAAAAAGTTTGTCCGTAAAGTTATCATCTTTAAAAAGCCTACAAAAATCACTTGACATTCATTTATTTGTCATGTTAAAATCGACACTTTTATCAATATCTAAATATTTTGTTGTTTTTTTCCTACATATATCGACATGAAAATATTTTTAAGAAACAATAGTTAATAATCTAAATAGTTTCCTATCATCTATAAATCGTATACTTAATATTCAATAATGAATTCCCTAGGGAATTCTGATGGCAGGAATCATTGATTTATTGTTTATGAATGTTACGGACATTTCGCTTGTTATTTATCAAGACGTATCAGCCATCTGGACTGATAACTCACTTTCATGTTTGTAATAATTTCTAAAAAATGGGTTAAACGTAAACAAACCACTGAGAACAATTTAATATTTATTTTCAGTTGAACAGTGCTTAAAATGAGGGAAGGTAATAAATTAACTGTAATTGACAAATAGCGATTCAGATTTGAGTACGACCGATTTGGTCTTGTGTGTTGTTACGGGTATGAGGGTGGATATCACTTCTCAGCTGCCCGCACCGTCGAAGGGTTACCTCATGAGAGACCTGAAAATGAAGTTGGATTAATGTTGGTCTTTCAGACCTGGCAGCGTGACCACAGAGCTCGAAGGACAGCTACTTCAAGCCAGTTGCACACGGCCTTTTCATGGGATGTTTCGGAAGTGCTAGCTCCGCCCCCTCAGTGGCCTTACCATAGGAGACGGAAATCGATGGGGTATGGTGAGGTATGACATTTTTAGGGTCGACCTTTTCTAACCCCCTCCTTCCTTGTGAGAAGGAAGCATTGATACAGATGCCAGATGCCATAGGGAAACCCTTTACTGCTGTCACACTGCTCTAGTCAGCAGTACCACTTCGCCCTCAGACGTTAGGTTTCTGCTTCTAGTCTTACCGTTCCCCAGTCGACCTGTATGGCATGGTTGAACCTAAATAAAAATATGTACCAGCCAATATAGCTCGGTTGGGTCATCACAACAGACAAGGCCGATTACTACATCAAGATAGCAGCTACAGTTCGATTACAAATAGCAACTTATTAATTAAACGGTAAAAAGCACACCGATAGAAACAGTAATAACAATACTTACATAACCTCGAAATAGATGGGGTCGTTGCACACATAACATTTTGAAAACAAAATATACATCCAGTAGAAGATCATTTAAAAATTGGTTAATTAAAATACGAATTGCACAAAATATACCCACACGATAACCTCCAGTGCTGAAACAATAAATATTTGCAATTTTAACGCATGATCATTAAGAAACAAAATTGACAATATAACATGTAACAAACATAAATTACACATTTTTGGTATCAGATCCAAATAATAAGTTAAAACTTGGTCTGCTCTTTAATTTTTAGTTTTTTCTTCCTACCAACTAAGAAAAATTCTTAGAAAACAATAATTCAATAATATAGGAGAAGTATACGAGTTGGATACCCATGTAATGCTGTAGAAACAGTTAATGTTAATTTTTCTGAACACATTATATTATCATTTGAACTAAGCGGACTTCAAGTTCAAAATCCGAGTAAGCAATGCTGTCGTTAAGAAACGGGTGCTAGGTAAGGATGGCAGGTCAAAAAATGGATTATTGAGACTTCAGCAGTTGAGATGGTTGGGACAAGTATTACTTGTACCTAACCACCGACTGCCCCAACGAGCGATGTTTTGAGATGTAGGAATATGTTGGAAGATAGTCACTGACAACTGCACTGAGTCATGCTGGTGGGTGGTTGGGGCCCGCGGGATGATAGTAATCGATGGTTAGAGACCCTGAACAGCATGGCTCGAAACCACTTGCAATGGCGCAGGTGCATTCATTCTTTGTGTTCTCTCAAATCCTAATCTTCAGAATTCCTCATCAGCATTATCTTTTTCTTGTAAGTTTATATCACTAGATTCTACTTCTTGAATAATATCGTCGAACCCAACTTCTACTATATCTAATACTATGGGATTTGAATTGACAATTGCGTCTCTGTGCTAATGAGGTATGGCAACTTAAACCGATGTACATACGTACGTCTGAAGTTCTTAGCTGTAGCTGGCTGACTTACTAAGAACAGATTTCTTACAATAAATGATTGATAAAAGTATTGTTATTGAAACCTACTTATCTACTAAAACAATAGGAGCAGAAGAATTTGAGAATTCAGGATCATCATTAGCTAAATGTGTTGCCAATCCAAGTAAATCTGATGCTATCTTCGATTGATAAGGATTTTCTAAATCAACAGAAGGCCATGCATTAAAATGTAAAAGAGTACATGCTAACGCATAATCTTCTCGATCAGATGTTAATAAAAATTGAAATCGTGCTAACGAATCATTACATTGGTCCATTCGAGCAAAATTTATGTGCAACCAACCAATTGTTCTTGTCTGTTATTTGAATGAAAAAAAAAACATTAACTTAAAAATTAAAAAATCGACAATTAAAATAATCCACTAATAATAGATATTAAAGAAACACTAAAGCTTAAAATATGAAAACTAAGATTAAAATTATAAGTGGATATAGAAATATCAATCAACTAAAAAAGAGAAGTCATAATATGGTTGACCCATGAACTGAGTTGAGTACCTGCAAACAAAATAATCTGTTATTCTTACTGACATGTAAAAAATTAAGGTTACTTCAAATAAATAGTATTATTAATTCCAGGAGAATACCCATAATAAAACAAGTTTAACAATTACTTTTATTGTTTAAACTGATCGACAGTTGGTTTGGTTCGCTAATTACAATTCTCCAAATCATTGCTCGTTAGACAAAGCACTAATGAGACACAATACAGTCTGTGGGATTGATGAAAGACAGAATTTCTGAGTGTATATTCTTACACACCAAATAATCCACGTCTATTTTAGGCATCAGGAATTATAAAAAACGAGTTCTGCAGAATTATCATACAATGCATATTTTACTATCGTCAAGTGAATTTGTCCCTAAAAGAAACTTGTCAACTATTATACGTAAATATGAAACTATTGTGTAGAAATAAATCACTGAAATATTCTATTCTGTTCACAAAAGTAAAAATGCATAAACTGATTTATAACAGCTACTACTGCTGCTTAATTCGTTTTATTACTTGAAAGAATCGCGAATTCACCCGGAGTTGTGAACAATAATTAGCAAGTTCGAACAAACAGTACAGTTGACAATTATAAACTATGGCTGATTCTTTCAATTAAAAAAGATCTACAAATAACTAGATTAGTCATTTGACAGCATTAATGTTATTCAATGATCGGTTACAAAAAAGATAACTAACTTGTTCAATTTCATCAGGCCAAAATGGTAACAAGTTTTGGTCAGACAAACATACAATTAGAGAAGAATTAGCGTCCCAAACTACTTTCCAAAATTCAGTTACATTGTTACCTAAAGGGTGACGAGTAACAATATACTCACAAACATTCAAGAAACCATGGAGAATGGATGAATCAATGCCGGAACCATCAGAAGTACCTGGAAGAGAAAACAACATTATACGTATATCATATAGAAATATGGTAAAAAAAAAAGTGATAATTTTATATAAAAACTTGACTCTTTAAAGTAATCTCATTTCTGGCTAATTCTATAAAGTACGTCAAGACACGTACACGTGCTTAGAGGTTATAAATAAAGAACAAGGTACCTGTACATATGGGTAATTTCGTTTGGTCAACATTGGGAGTTCCGTTATGCAAAGAACCAACAGTATCGCATCCGAAATCCATACACATCTTAGAAGAAAAAAAATAATAAGTCTTTTAACATCCATTTATTCAGGTAGTAAACAGTATATTAACTTATTAATACTAATCTTACTGAAATACTCATTTTAACAACTGATCTATGCACGAATAGTAAAAATGCTATGCAATAAATTACAAGCACTATTTTTACTAAGTAATATGCTTACTTCAAATTGCTTCATCAAATTAGATGTGCCCGTTGAATCTAGTTCATACAAGTGCCTCAAATAATCACTGAAGTGCAATGGACGAATTGAATGAGATGGATAAAGGATGTACTCACGTAATGCGTCATGAATAAAAGCATACTGTTGCTAAATAATCAACATAATAAGAAAAATAAACAGATAATATTTATTGAATTATTTATTTATTCATATTAACGATGTTGTGAGTGATCTAATCATTGCAAAAGCAAATGACTGACTTATAGAGGCATACATAAATGATATACATAAACGCAGTCTCATAAAAACAAAATAATAAAAAACACTAGTTGTGTAAATCTTAGTTACGCCAACCAAGATTCGTATAAAAAATAGGTACGACAAAGAAATAATTACTTCGGTCTGAACAAGTTTCATACGTTGTTGACGGATATGCTCCAGAAACCCCCGAACAGAAACGGCTTGTTCCACCTTTAGTTGTCGTATCAAACTTTCAATACAAATATAAGTACCAGTTCGTCCAACACCAGCGCTAAAATATAAAAAAATTCAGGTCAGATAAAAAGGATTTAATGCATACTCAAGAGTCTAGAATGTCAGTTGATTAGCAACTTATTATCAGATTACATCAAATGCTGTAAAAGACTACATTACATCAACGTGCACTAAACAACATTTACAGAAGGGAAAGAAAAACTTACCTGCAATGGACAACAATTGGACCCTTATCAAAGGTCCAATGTGCAACTGAAGCTTCCACGAACTTGAGGACCGGAAGAGGGGAAGGAGGTACATCGAAATCTCGCCAATCTGTGTATTGATAGTGATAAACCAAACGATCTTTAGAACCCTATAAAAGTAAAACAAAATACGTCTTATTTCTTAAAATGAATACCGACATATTATATTTATAAGATGTAACTGATTATTACCAGATGGATGGAGTCTAACTGACATCGACAAGGAACATTTGTAACAAAGGTGTTAAGGTAAATGAATTTCTACCTCAAAGATATGCGCTGCCAATTTACACGAAATCACCATCATCGTATTGCAATCAATCAACAAACAACTAGTACCATGATGAATCATTTAGTTTATTACTGTAATAGTAACCGACCAGTTTCTTACTACGTGCATAGCAGAATTTCTAAACTAGAAATCAACTGAAATAGTATGTCATCAATATTAACTGACTTTTAAAATTGTGCATTTACATATTTTTGATTATTTCATCCAAAAAACTTTTTTGAATCGTAATGAAATTAAACATTTAATTAAAAAAAATAAAACTATTAGGCTGATAAACAAGAAATGAAATTTACACGTTTAGCTTTGATATGACGAACAGTAAACACTCGAACGGTAAAGAAAGCTCGTACAACTTCAGAAACCATACGAACTGAAATGTTGCCATATGTTTGGTGACCTGAACTAGGCCAATACTTGTCACATTTACGCTGCAATTTGAAAAAAATAAAAGCGAAACGTGGTCACAATTTGAAAAATTCGCATAAACGTTGTGGATAAAAACACCCATCAAGAAAATTAAACAGTCACAATGAAGGTTATATCCCCGAGAAAAACAAATTAACTTCGAATATCTCAGAATTTAATTTTACTGCTAATTTGCTGACTTGAATTCACGTTTCAAGTGGCTAAATATAGCTCAATAAGTGACAACACTGGTCTGTAATAAATGTATACTACATTAAACTAAAAGATTTGATAGATATTGACCAAGAAAATATTCGAAGTTGAGAAGTATGGAGAATAGTTTAGTTTGAAATGATATAAATGTTCTATTATAACAAGCACACTTATTTATCATAGAGAAAGCTACGATTCCATAGGGAACACTCCATTTAAATATTATCTCATAGAAGTATGGGTTAAAATGAACGTAGTTTAATTATAAATCCGGTTCTTATAGACTCACAATTCTAAGCAAGAATATCTCTTACCTTGGAAAAAGTAAGCAGAATACAAAACTTTTAATCAAAAAATTAAGCTATAAAATGGAAACAGACAGGTACAATAAAAAAACGACAGTATAATTTTCTAATTCATAAAATTCTTAAATCAGAACACCATAAAATATCTTTTGCAATAATGACTAAAGTAAGAAATAGTTAATCGTTGTATGACTCGACCGTAACTGCTACCTTAACGTGGTGGTCAGGCTTGCCTATCGTCATGACTCAACCGAGCTGTATTGTCTGGAACATATGTTCCTGAAGGTTCTACCATGCCAGGCAGGTCGATTGGAGAACGATCAGACTGAAAGTAGCTACCCAAGGTCTGAGGGCAAAGTCGTACTGCTGACTGTAAAGGGATGTGACAGAAGTAAGATGTTTCCTTCGGACAACCAGCATCCACAGCAATGCTGCCTTCTCACAAGGAAGGAAGGGTTAGAAAAGGTCGATCCTAAAAATGTCACACCTCACCCTACCTCACGGATTTCCGTCTCCGGCGGTAAGGGTGCCCACTAAGAGCTTTTAAGAGCAGAGCTAATCATCAAAAAACCTTTCACAAGAGGGCCGTGCGTGACCGGCCTCAAGCAGTTGTCCCTTGGGCTCTGCGGTCAGGTCTCTAAGACCAACACTAATCTACCTTCCTTTTCAGGTCCCTCAAGAAACAACCTTCCACGGTGTGGGCAGCCGGGAAGTGACAACAGCCCTCATAACCGTAACAGCACATGACATGGCTCGAAACCGTTTGAAATGGCGCCGGTGCATTTATTCTTAGTGTTCTCTCGAACCCTCAACTTTTTAATTCTTCATCACTTCATCCTTTTAAGTCTATTTCACTAGATTCTACTTCTCGACTAATATCTTCTAATACTAGCCTCTCCGACTACTGCTAAAACCTCTACTACCTCTACTACTATTGGATTTGAATTGACAATTACATCTCTGTGCTAACGTGGTATGGCAACATGAACTGATGTGCGTACGTACGAAGTTCTACGTTGCTATTGATTGATTAATTAATCGTTGTATGATAAACTTACACGACCACGTTCAACGAAGTTAGATATCATAACGATAACATTGCTATTTTGTTCCCACACCATCAACCAGAAATCATTGAAAGTAGATGGAATCGGACCTTGGGCAGCGATATATGCTGCTCGACGATGATAGCCCTGTACAAAACAAAAATTCAAATGAATATTATGTGAAAGGTGAAAATAGTTGACATTGCAAATGATTCGAAAATAGCGATAAAATTAAAATACACATAACAGGTACATTCCAACAGGAAATATAGAAATATTAAACAATAAGTTTATTTGTTTTAGTTCTGACTGGTACTCCATCTGAAAATACGAAAATCAACCTCTGACTAAAGATTTAAACACAAAAGGAAATGGGAGTGTGATAGCCAGTTTAAATTTCTAGTGATCCCGTCGTGGACCAAGGTGAACACAAGGACTAGATATATTTCTTTTGAATATATAAACTTGGTTTGCTGAAGTTGATCTAGATGCATGTCTTATTTTAGCCTCTGTAAAAAAACATAATAATTATGGACTTATAAGTGAAGAACCTGATGATGAAGTTAATGGGAACAACTGTTCGTTCAAATATTCTTTATTTTTGAAGATTCATATTTATCAATGAAAGCAGTAACAATAAAAATTCAAATAAATACTAATCATAGGAAATTTTGGAACATATTAGTTCCCCCATAATTTTGAGGAAATGATCTTACGAAGCTGTCAGCTTGTTAAAAAAAAAACAACAAGTAGTAGTGAAACAAAAAAAAATGAACAAATGAAATGATTAAAATTGTTATCTTAAGAATTAGTTTCTCCGATCCGTATGTTTTACAAGCACATCGATACAAGTGAATACGCATTATACAGACGAGTATCAAATGAGAAAAATTACTAACAACTAAATCAAAATCGCAATAATCGCAACTGAGAGTGGCTTAATAATTATATCAAGAGCGGAGGCTATTAATAAGTAGGTTTAAACTTACATCGACATAATTTGCATTGATATAATCACTTTTATTGCCTGTTTCTTTAAGTGTAACTCTTGAATGATCATCTAAAATATCAAAGCATAACGCACAAATAAAACTATTCACGAAAAGCGACGAACTCTTTAAAGCATAATACCAAGGGTATTTTCAATAAAAGTCTAAATTTGTATTAAAAAACACAATTCCTATATGGTAGTAGAAAATAACTTATGGACTTTTAAAACGCTCTAACACAATCAACTAATTGCCATTATCGTTAACTTAAAACAGAAATCGGTTAGTAGCGATCACAGATATTCAGATGAAACACGCTTCATGTTTTATTACCATTTAACATTTTAGATGTTTTATATTGAATTTTGTTGTACTATATCATATTATTGAACAGTTAAGTCATTTTATTCATTTGATTCTATTACACTATTACACGACACTACTGATTATCGATAATATAATTATAACAGATCATTTCGCCTGTGACTAGAGAAGAATGAGCAACGTACATGACAGGTCATTTGTATTGGTTGTTTGAATATTTCCATTGATGTGATTGGTCAGTATTTTTTGAAAAACCATGAAAAATTAAAAGATATAAAACTATCCATTTGAAATTATGAAGCGCTAATACCTACAAAAATGTGCATAATATAAGAATCAGCTTATTTCGATACTGAAAAACTAACTTTAATGGATTCTTTGTATGATAATAATACAGTGAATCGTGAAATAAAAGTACTTTTTAATATTTAAAGCATTACGATAAGGCTTTAGAGTAAAAAATAATACGGAATGTTTAACTCTAATAGAAGTACTGGAGAGGAATATGGTTTATTGGTGGATATTCGATGAACATGGTTCGAGAAATCTATAATTTGATACTGAAATGTTTCCATGACAGAAAATATCATTGGCAACCAATGTGAATTTATAAACTAAGTGACCCATTATATATTCAAATCTACACAAGGAAAAGGTACGATGGTAGAAAAACATAAAAGCCAAATGATCAATATATTTGCAGAGTATTCACTAATTCAAAAGGTGGCGGAATTGTTCCAAAAACGCCTGGAGGAAAAAAAGTGATAAATTTAGATAGTTACTGCGAATACTACCGTTATTCTTTTTTCATATCTAAGTCACAGCGTGCTCCTCATTTAATCCATGAAACAACCAATAATTATACAACAACTAAGAAAATACATAAATGATATGGATATTACAGAAGACAATCAAAAACTCACAAGCCAAAACGTTGGAGTATCGATTTTTCGCGATGTTTTCTGGAGACCGAGCGACAGAGGTTGACCAGTTTGTTTGCATATTTTGTTCTAACGACTAATTTAAAAAAAAAATTCGGTACTTTGATGATAAAAATATTGATTAAACATGAAAGTACTTAGACAATCGCGCCTAGAAAAACTAATAATTTGTTGTCTAAATTGAAGTTGATTCATAGGAATGACTAGATCATTTATCAAGTAGAGTTTTGCATACTCGGTTTTCAGTCACATGTTTACAGGTACTAAACAACAGCTGTCCAAATCGAAGGTGGTACGAGACTCGAACCTAAGACCGTACAAACGTGACTGATCATCTGTAAAATAAAGCTTTATTACTCAAGTGAAACATGTTCATAAAGACAAATGTAATATATAGCCCGTTTGAAGTTGAACAAATATTTGTGAATGTGGAAATAAGATTCAGCGATATAAACATGAAACTTTGAGTTTGTAAGTTGTAAACTGGTTTAAACGCATACAAAAACTTGGATACGATCACTTATTTGTTGGATATATTGTTTGATTGCATTAACTAACAATTCAAAATTACGTATTGAAAAATTTTCACTAAAAGCTAACAGTGACATAGCAAGAGTATAGTAGAACTAAATTTATTTCTGAAAGATTAGGAACAATTATGTTAAATAGATGTTGTTAATGGAACTCAAAAACCAACTTTGTGTATCTGGTGAATCCCACCAACCAAAGTGCTAATAACCTTTAGTGATTAGGCAACTCACTTCGAACTCTGCCTGAAATCCAGCATCATCATCAGCATGACAAGCATTGACATGAGCACGAAATTCTTTGCTTGAAATAGCTTTGTATGTGTTTTTACTTAGATGAAATGGTGCAATACGTTTATATTTAGTTGATATATCGGTTTTTCGATAACAAGAACCCGTTCCACGACACATGATAAAAAAACAATGGACTCGGCTAAAAAAATAAAAGCAAGAAAACAAAGTGAAGTCTACTTCATGAGAAGCGTTTAAGTCCTATTGATTTAAAAAAAAAGGAAACACCACAGATTATGGACTTAATGCGAACTTATAACATGTTCATTGAGTTAACCAGATTTTGTGAAACGTCAGGAAAATTAATTGAACGAACTCAATTAAAACGTACTTAGCAAAGCATGCACCTACTGTAACGCAGAAGAAGACCAAAAGAGTAATAGAGACTATCCCGAAAATTGCAATATTATCTAATTTGAAATAATATTTTGGAGTTGTATGGAAATATTGTTGATTAGAGGAAGCTAAAACGAAAAGAAGCGTGAAGTGAATTTGTATGGAATATGACAAATTATCTGAATGAAATAAGCGTTTAATATCACCAAATGAGGTGATGCACAGAAGCTTCAGTAATTACATGCAATCAATATTAATTCAAATAATAAATGTAAGAAATCTAAACATTTTCGCTTGTTTTTGGTAACATAGAACGTAGTGAACAAAAATAATAGATGTGGAATTCGAAAGTACTTACATAGATTTAAACTTATTTCATTTGAATTTTCACTTTGCATTTCACAGCTTACGTAATCAGTACAATTTGTTTGAGAAATACTAGATCGAATAGTAAAGATAATTTGACCAGATTTTGCTTCTTTAAACGCGGACAACGGGATAATGGTCTGAAGATAGATAAAGATGACTAATTTACTTAAGACTTGAGTTGAGAAAAATACTTTAAAGTTAAAAATGAAACACGTTTCAGCGCTTCATACTAAATGTAAACAAGGGGCGAACGTACGAAACAATTAAATGTTAATGTATCGTTAGTTTTAATGAGTGGAAATCGTATATAGAGATATCAAAAAACAAGCCATTGTTAAGGTTTAAAAGTACCAACTAATACAATCAATCAAATTTACAATTGCTTTATATGATTTTCAAGAAGTACCATAGGAGAGTTGGCAAAATCATTTCAACATTATGGAATGATTTTCCACCAGGTATATAGCCATTTCCAGAAAAGTCGTACCCTACATTTTCGTGGCAGGAGTTTCGCCTACATTTCAAGAGTTATGGCCAATAGTCTACTACAAAACTGAAACATGATTATTTATCGGCACCATAATTATGAGAGTCAGCAATGCTTGCTTGCTTAAAGACGCTGTTGATAAGTCCAACAAGACATAATTACACATACAATAAACTTCTATACACCAGCAGGAAACAATAAATGCTTTAAAAATATTAGATAGTTACCCATTGAAATTGTTGTTGTTGATCACAATAACAGTATGCTAATTCCTTTCTATCTGATGTCTGAGTGAGTAAACATTTTTGTTCGGATAGGAAGGACTGAAAGTACCAACAGACCAAAAACTGTCTGTTTCTTGTTATTGATGAACATTCATTTGAGCAAGTCCAGTTAATCAAAACATCATTGCTCTCCAAAAGAAAAGCGCCAACAGCAACAGGTGGTGAGAGAGCTGAAAGTTATTTTAAAAAATTCTAAAACAAAGTAGCTATGATAAATTTTTTTATACAATTTAATTCATACCACTAACGATGTAGAAGATATCTTGCCATTATAATCTTAAAATGGTCTTAAACTACCTTAGTAAATAGTTATACAAGGAGTTTTACTCTTTCACAGAAACGAATAAGTTAGTTAAGGTAACATGGAAGGATGTTTTTTGTTGGTATCAATCTATTAAAACTTCAAGTCATGACAAATCGATATCCAAGAGTTCTACAAAATATGGTTTATACGTATAGTAACCACGAAGCAAAGTATTTTGAGATACTTTTACTGAAACTTTCTATACAATAAACAAAAAAGGAAAGTGCTTATCATTTGACAAAAAAACTAGGAAAATGTACGATAATACTGGACAAAAACAAACCTTCAGATTTAGTATAAACTTCAAGTTCACTGAAATTTCCGAACCCAGCTTTTGTAGCAGAGGCTACACGAACGAGGTAGCAAGTTTTGGGATACAGATTTTCAAACACAAACTGAAAGTCGTTGGAATCCAGTTGAACAGTTTTCAACCTTTTAGGATTTTGTGCACCATTCTTGAAACACATGTGCAGCTAGTAAGTGAAATTAAAAACCAACAATCCTTGTAAAATCAACAAAACAGAACCAGATTCATAAAACACTTAACTGGTACCATGGCATCCTTAGAATTATGTTCACTGTTAACACTATTAAGCGCATAAATTACAATAATTATTCAGAATTTCATCAGGATTTTGAAATAAACCTAAAGAACATGAGTAGCATGTTAGCATCGCAGCGTAAGATTTTCCGATTCATAAACTAGAGAATGAAAAGTTCATTTGCAGGAGAAAAGTCAGAACTACCACGATGAACATTTTTGCAGAATTTTACAGAACGATGGGAAGTTAAGGGAATATTGAGATCCCGAAGCTTTCCATAAGCTCACGGCTGTTTCGGGACAAGCAGAACTAGAGTTATATATGAAGGTTACCAAGAGACTGGTAAACTTCCTGAACATGCATCCTCAATTTATGGAACGAATGAAACATGACACATTGTAATCCCGAACTTTCACGACCTGATTACGATCACACTTACCCATTTGCCCACATACATGAACTTTCCAGGTAATATGTTCACAGAACTATTACCTACATCCATCAGAGCTCTTTCCAGAACATCATTGATGGTAAAGTTGAAGAGAAATGGTGATAAAATAAGACTACTACAATAGATGCGCAAAAATAAATTCTGTTAAAAAGAATAGTGTAGGAAAAGATGATTAGCATATACATCGACCAATCGTAAAAGCCTACAGATTCACTGTCATTAACTGTATCAATTTTATCTATGTATGGAAATTAATTCAATGAGAGAAACTTTGGTATTATCCAACCACTTAGAAATTGCTTCTTTTTAACTCGGAAAACTATTTGTGAATGCTTTATTATTAGACCTAAATATAACCAATATTAATTACAAATTTTAAAATCATACCTTAGGAAAAACCTTACAAGTACGATCCTCACTACCAGTTACAGGTATTTTCAGAAGTCGAGATTGCATTTCATAACAATCTTCAAAAAATGTAAGTTTGATTGCAAGCACACTAGGTTAAATAGGTGTCGGATTAAAAAACATGAATTTATACTGTCTTCTACTTACCTCCAATTTATGGGCAACTGTTTTGCCCACTGCATCAGCATTATTATCCCAGTTGATTGATAGTGAGTTAGATGAGCTTTCACAGTTTTTTATTATAGGTTTTCCGGGAACCCCTTCTGCAGTTGAAACAACCAAAGAAAAAAAAGGGCCCGCAAAACGACCATTGTAAAAAGCGAACGACAGGTTGTATCGCGTATATGGTTTTAGATGGGATATATCTATAACCTAAAATGGTGAAATATTCAAAACAGACTGTTTATCACATCCATAAAAAGATGAGTTTAAATGAATGTTTTATTGATTTTGATTGCCTCTAGGTGAAGAAACAAACAGTGAAATTTCGAATCAACTTTAGATGGTTATTTCATCCGATTTCTTGAATCACAAGTGAAACCAAACGACTGATCGTAGATGCTTACCTAAGTTTATACTAAACCTGAGTGAACAGTGGATGTGATAGTAATTAAGTAAAACTTGTATGTTTAAGAAATTCCTGCTGATAGAATCAGACCAAAGTACTAAGAATATCATCGAGACAAGGTCGTTCCTCGTAATTTATAACAATTTTTAAAAAATTAAAATGTAACTAAAGGAATCCTACATTAAACGGCGTCAGTAATTTAGGAAAATTAAAGTGCGATAAAAAAAAGTTACCTGCGAGTGTGATTCAGATGCATTGTATAACGTTTTTGAAGCAAACACGTAAGGTTGAATTGTAGCAACTGTGACAATGTAGCCAACCAATGGGCCATGTAGCAATGATATGAATCGAACATCATGATCTAAGCATCTTTTGACATTGTCTTGATTGACATCCTTTAAATTTGTGATACCTATGTCTACAGAAATTGAATGACTTGATACATTGATGATGTGAACTGTTGGGTGGGCAACAGGTAAGCCAGGAAGAGTCAGTGAGTGGCTAGGTCTACTAAATTCACTCCAACCAATGTCATTCAAAGCACGAATGTATAAAGTATAGCATGTGTATGGCTTTAAGTTATGAAGTGTTGTGCTGGACAGAGGAGACGATACGTTCTTTTGTAAAACTAGACTGTTGCTGCAAAGAAAATATATTGGTTTAAATAAGTAAGAACATCAGAAGACTGCAAATAATTTAAAAACATGTTCCGATAAACATATACGTTCGCGTGAAAGATTCAACAGCATCTAAATCTAGATGATAATCGTCCGTTTATACTTAATAAAATGGAAGTATATGGTTTTTATGTTTAAAACAATTACTAGATAAACAACCATTGTCATCTCATTTATTAGTTTTAAAAGTGATTAAGGATTACGGATATATAAAACACTAAACGTAGTAAAAATAGCCGATCAGTTAGTCATAAGCACTGTAAGACAGGATAATGAACAATGCAGCAAAGGTACAATGCAAAGCGTGGTTAACGTTGACTTTGGATATAATCAAGCACTTCCACATGTTGCTTAGGATTCTTTTCAAATCCTTCATTAATAAGTAAATAACGGGTCATTGTAATATGTAACAGAGATTAAAGTTCTCATAAGAGGAAATCGGCAAGGACATATCTTGTCGAATTCAATTAGCATATCAGAGGGTGGAATGATCCTACCTGTCAGGGAGATTTTTTGTTCTAATTTTTACTTGAAACTTGGTTTTCGAATACTAGTCGTGAATTAAGACATTGTTTAAATATTTAAGGCAATAGACGAGAACCAGTTCAAATGACTGAATGGTTTATAAAGCAATGCATAATATCACAGCTTTCGAACGTGATTTGTTTTGGAATTTATGATTAAAGGAGTCGAATATTTCCAACCAACAATCAATACTGGTTATAGTTATCAAATGGTATTATTACTATGAAGGTGGCTTTCCCACAAACCAATAGTGCTAGTGATCCATTGAAAGCAAGGAAGTATTTTATAGCTGTTTCGTTTTTTTGCTTCGTACTTTACAGGAATGGGAAACAACGAAAATCGAATCAACAATTTAAACTGACGTGCTAACTTGGATGCTTGAATAACATAGGTTTGATCCTCAGTGATCAATATTAGTAACTGATGAGTCCCAAACGGTAAGACATCTGTCTCTGGTTGTTGAGCCTATAGGAAGATAACGCAACTAAATATCATTGACAGTAAGAGACTCAAATGGTTTTGGGTTTCCTGGCCAAAACTGATTTGTTAGCATCGACATTCACTGATCTCTTCTCAGTAATCGCAATATTTTTGACTTCGCAATAAAGATAATGATAATGAACTCATAAAAAAGCGTTCTGGAAAAACCATTTATAGGCATTACTACAAAAAATATCTTATTTGTGAACAAAGTATCATATTTATGCATAGAAAAGTGGGACTCCATAACTTATCGAGGTTAATATCAAAAAACAAGGAGCTTTTCACTGTTAGATCCTAGACACAAGTTTCGTGGGGAAAAAACAAATTACGCTATAACTCCTAAAATATCTGTGGCACTAAATAGAGGAATAAACGTATTTATTCCAGTGCTCAGTAACGGCCAAATAACGATGTACAAACTACTTACTTATCATGCAGGTAGACAGTGTGAAGTGAAATAGGGCTATTTTGACTTTTTCCAGAAACCCACGAGGCATTTATTGAGCTTTCCGATAGTGCATGGGTGTGAATAAACATCGGAGGAAATGGTTTATCTGAACAATCATGTGGATACCTAGCTTACCTTGTATTAAAACGAGTAATGACTGCTGGTACTTCAGGTTTCCATTATAAAACAGTCGACAGTTGTATTCCCCAGATTGAGTAACACTAGCATTTCTTAACGATATGGTGTCCCTGGACATTGTTTTGTTCGAAGGGTCTCGCCACAAAACAAGAGTTGTGTTCAGATGATGATCCTCTCCACACCTCAGAATAATATCCGAGCCAACACGAAAATGACGGGTCACATTGGTTTCTGGTGCTGGTAAGTGCAAAGTTGACAGACTTAAGGACCAGATATTTGGGAATGTTATGACTAATGAGAAGAGCACCAATGAATTCGCAAATTCAAACATAGATATGTTATTATTACCAAATCACCAGCCCTCATACTCTCAGTCATTCATTGCTCAAAACGTGAGGCGACCCAAAGCCCGGGTACGGTAGAGGTCAAATGCGAGTACGTCCAATATCCAATATATCTTTATCATGAGCTAGTATAAGCCAATTGATTTCTTTGTGCTCGATTCTTGTTCTTTTAGTACGGTTCCAGGTGTTTGGTAGTGTCCAATGAATGGGGGGGTACGGTAAAATTCAATATCTGTATGAAGAACACATAAAATTTCAGACTTAGATGGACATATATACTGATCGAATAGATTTTCAAAAGCAAGGTTTGGATTACACAGGAGGTGTTTTTTACGGATTATGGTAGTTCTTTCTTTGCTTCCTGAGGAATCTAAAAAGAAAAATACATATTTTAACTGCATCACTTAGTAATTTGATTAATGGCGGTCAATGACAAGAGGGGTTTCCATCACTGTCCCTGAAGCTATAATAAGTCCCGAGCAGTAAAGCAGAGTTTTGTCACTACTCCTTCAGTCCACGGTAGATAGGTTGTAATTATTAAAAAATTTGAACTCTTTTATGTCATGTTTTCCACATTTTTCTGAAATAAGACTCCATCTTAGTTAAACGTGAGTGATAAGGGATTCTGAAGGTATATTATGCTTCAAGATATTGTCTTGTATAACTGAGGAGGAACCAAAGGCTAAAAATGCCATCGACTTTTATTACCTTTTTATTCAATAATCCCAGACCCAGTCGAATCAGAAGTTAGGAACAAAAGAGGTCATAAATTTACTCATAAAACAGTCGTTGCACCTAGAAGCGCGTAATCTAGGAAGACTGTTTGTTGTGAGGTAAGTGAAATGCAGTGTCCCCAATAGTAATGTGGTAGGGATGCCAAACAGACCATCTTCAGTTAAGATGTATCCAGTAAAATTAGCAAGGTCACGTGAGGACCACAGAGCAGTTCATACTGATTGTGAGTTCTCTACAGACGGCAACGTCTCCTCATCTCTCTCTCTAAATTGTCATAGAATAAATAATAATTAAGACGCAAGACAAAGGTTCGTTTTATCATATTCGTTTACTGCTTTTCATCCCAATTACTTACTTACGCCTGTTACCCCCCTTGTGAGGGCTTGTCTGGTGACGCAGTTGGGTGCTTTTGGCAGTGTGTCCTATCCACTTTAACCGCTTCTTCCTCATTTCCCCCTCCACTGGAATCTGGTTTGTTCTCTCCCACAGTTCGTTGTTGCTGATGGTGTCTGGCCAACGAATCCGAAGTATTTTGCGAAGACAACTGATCATTAGTACTTGTATCTTCTGGATGATGGCTTTGGTAGTTCTCCAAGTTTCCGCTCCATACAGTAGAACTGTCTTAACATTTGTATTGAAAATCCTGATTTTAGTTTTCGTTGAAAGTTGTTTGGAGTTCCAGATATTTTTCAACTGTAGAAATGCAGCCCTTGCTTTGCCGATCCAGACCCTTATATCTGCTTCGGATCCACCTTGATAGTCGATGATGCTGCCCAGATATGTAAAGGTGTTAATTTCCTTCAATAGTGGTTTGGTTGGTGCATGTTATGTTGCATCGGAGAATTTAGCTCTTTACTTTATGTATGTTGAGACCTACTGCTGCAGAGGCTGCTGCTACACTGGTCGTCTTCTCTTGCATTTGTTGTTGCGTGCTAGATAGAAGAGCCAGGTCATCTGCGAAGTCCACATCGTCCAGCTGCGTCCTTACTGTCCAGTTGATACCGTGCTTCCCTCCAGATGTTGACGTCTCCATAATCCAGTCGATGACCAGGAGAAAGAGAAAGGGTGAGAGTAAGCAACCTTGCCTGACACCGGTCTTCACCTCGAAAGGGTCTGTTAGCTGTCCTCCGCGCACAATTTTGCAGTTGATTCCATCATAAGAATTCCGTATGATGTTAACTATTTTCTCAGGCACACCGTAGTGTCGAAGAAGCCTCCACAGTGTTTTCCTGTCCACGCTATCGAATGCCTTCTCGTAGTCGATGAAGTTGATGTAGAGTGGTGAGTTCCATTCAATTGATTGTTCCACAATGATCCGTAATGTAGCAATTTGGTCAGTACACGATCGATCCTTACGAAATCCGGCTTGTTGATCTCGAAGTTGGACGTCTACGAAGTCCTTCATTCTGTTTAACAATACTCTGTTGAAGACTTTGCCTAGTATTGAAAGAAGAGTGATGCCTCTGTAGTTCTCACACTTGCTGAGATCACCTTTCTTTGGTATTTTGATCAGGTATCCTTCTTTCCAATCTGATGGTACTTGTTCCTCATCCCAAATCTTCTTGAAGAGAATGTGAAATATATTCGCAGTTGCTTCTACATCTGCTTTCATTGCCTCTGCTGGAATGTTGTCTGGTCCTGCTGCTTTACCGCTCTTGATTTCTCTGATGGCCATACCGATCTCTTCAAATGTAGGTGTGCCAACATCAGTTGGGAGGTCTGTAGATGGTGCTTCGATGTTGGGTGGGTTCAGAGGAGCTGGTCGATTCAATAGTTCTTTAAAGTGCTCTACCCACCTATTTCGCTGTTGTTCAGTGTTGCTGATTACTTTGCCTTCCCCGCTTTTCACTGGTCGTTCTGGTTCACGATAGTTTCCAGCGAGCTTCGTTGTATCGTACAATTGTCTTAAGCTTCCTCCTTCTACAACCTTTTCCGCCATCATTGTAAGATCCATTATGAAGGCTTTGTTTTTGAAAATCTCTCCATGTTTACATTTGTCATATGTCCCCATTGATTCCTTCAGCTCTACAGTTTGTTAGTTTGTTCACTTCCATTGTGAGATAGTAATATTTGTATTTTATTATGGATTCTACTTTTTGTGCCTTTACTGAGTTTTTTTATTTCATTCTGGACTTCATAATGTTGTTTAAGGTGATACTTAGTTATGGAGCCAGCCATATTGATTGATTTGTTCCTCCTATAGTTGGACTGACTGGAAGTGTGCATTTTGTTTGTGAATTGGAGCACTCTTCCAGAACCGGAAACCCTCAGTGTTATAAGAGGGACAGAATATCGTTTATTTGAGTAATTGAACTATCACTGAAGGAATAACCGTGGTAATATTGTTGGAGTAATGATGTATATTTATATTTATTATGAATAATAGAACCGTTATTTACCCAAAAATCACGTTTTGGATTTCAGCTGAGCAAAACTCGTATCTAAACTTCCTTGAGAGCTATTCCTCAGCCCAAACCTCAGTTTCGATCCTACATTCATTGCTAGATATTTCACATATTTTCGTTTCAAAACTCTGATGCTTTCCTTCACTTGCCTGTTTTCTTCTGTGTATTCAGACTGTGCCACAACACACTCCGCTCTAGTTCGGCTGACGTTGATTGCTGCATTCATATTCCTCCTTTCTTGAATTTTATCCAGAGAATCAACAGAGATCCATTCCTTGTGATGGTGGCTAATGTGGCTCAGAACCTCCTGACATGTTGCGGTGACTGACTCCTGGATTCCTTTCCGAATGTTCTCCATGGTAGTTTCTTTTCTATTGAGTAGATCGTGGAAAGCAAGGAACATATTTCTGAGGGCTATTTTGAATTCATTGAGTTTTACGGTATCCCGAACAAATGCCGTATAATAATAATAATAATTTATTCTCAAATAACAAACAGGTTACAAGAGACATGCCAATTCACAGGCAAGATCAAAATGTTAAGATTAGCAACATGTTTCTTTTAAAACGGTATACAGTTACTGAAACATTTCACAAGATTCGTTGTATTCTTAAAGATGGAATGTACAAAGCGAATAATTGGCACAAGTTACGAAGGTTGCGTTGCGACAATCATCTTATTGACTGAGAAACGATTCACGGTAGAGATAGGTTTTCATATAACAAGAATTGATGCGGTAAGTGTACAAAGGTCTGGTTGATATTCATCAGCTAATGATTTCACCAAGTCTACTGCACATATCCAGAATAATATATGAGGATTGGAATAAGGTTCTGAAAAAAAGAGGAATAAAGAGAACGGGACGAGGAGCGGAACAGAAAATATCCTTGTTCAAAGCCGAACAACGGCTTCGCACATACGTTTATGGATGAAACAAAGGTATGTTTACTCAGACTTTTTTAATATCAGAACAATAACTGTACACCTGCACTTATGTAGGTTAATGAAGACAATTCAGTAGTGAGATAACTAATTGGAAGTTAGTCGGATGAATAGAGGAAATTCAGAAGAACCAAGATGTTAGTAATAATGTTGATTTACAAAATATAATAAAGAGGCTCAGTGATATAATTTTTTTTGTTTTATTTATTCTTTTTATTTTCAACTCTGCGGCTCAAGAAGTTATGAATGAGCTCTTTTTTAGTATAGTTGTCCAGACTGGCTTGTAATAGGATTTCTCGGTAGGAAGTAAAAACCGGTGCAAGGTTACAGACATGAGTTGTAAACGAGGTTAACAAGGAAAAGTAACATCAATATCACTGACTTGTTACATCCTGCTGTATCGTACTTCTGTGATGTTGTCCACCCAGTTGTCCAGTACCTCTTGAGTTTCAATTTCATTTTGGCCACCAGCCATTGGTGATCTGATGCTATACCAGCTCCTCTTTTGTTTCTCACATCCTCCATGGTCTTTCCTAACTTTTAGTTTATACAGATATGGTCGATATGGTTCTGAGTAGTTTAATCTGATGAAATCCACGTGGCTTTGTGTATGCGGTTGTGCGGGAATATTGTGCCACCGACGACCAGTTTGTTGAAGGTACATAGTTTTGCAAATCTCTCACGGTTTTCGTTCCTTTCTCCCAGTCCATGTCGTCCCATGATGTCTTCATATCCACTGTTGTCCATGCCAACCTTATCATTTAGGTCTCCCATCAGAATGGTCAAATCGTTTGGTGAGCATCTGTCGATGATTGACTGCAGCCTTCCGTAGAATTGATCTTTGTCGTCGTCATTGTAGTCATTGGTAGGTGTTACGGGAGAAACGAAGACATTTTGCTGATCAA